CATACTGGGCGTGACTGGAACCGTACTGTGGCTGAATGGGAGCAACTGGAACCGTGCTGGGATCATACAGGGAGTTAGTGGGAGTGATGGGGATCCGACTGGGTTCATACTGGAGCCATACTGGGAGTAACTGAAACCATACTGTACGTGAGTGGGAGTGACTGGGACCATGCTGTGGGTGACTGGGATTCTACTGGGAGTGACTGGGATGACACTGGGGGCAATTGAGAATGACTGGGACCGTGCTGGGAGCCAACTGGGGACATACCGAGATCATACTGCAAGATGCTGGAACCATGCTGGGGGAACTGGGACCACAATATGACTCTCCTGCTAGCAGCTCCAGGGGCACAGGAGGAACCTGAAGGTTTACTCTCTGTTCCTGTCTCCCAGGCGGAAGCTGGCTGAGCGGTCGGAGGCGACTGTGCAGGTATCCGAGTTCAATGTCACCTGCAAAGGTGAGATCCTGGGAGCTGGACAGGCTCCTGGGGACAGCACTGCCCATCCAGAGCCACAGCAGGGGGTGCTGGGGGCTGTTGCAGCCCCTCACCTGGCGATGTCACACCTGTGTTGACACCTGTGTGTAGGTGCTGGGGAGAAGCTGGTTCTGTCGGAGCTGCTGCAGCCCATTCATCCCAAATCCGCCCTGGGCAGTGTGAGGAAGGAGCTGGCCAGAGTGAAAAAGAAAGCACCGGTGGAGCTGCCACTGAGCAAAGAGGAGGCCAAGCGGGTGAGTGTGGGGGACAGAGAGGGGTCTGGCTGCACAGGGGGCTGAGCTGGGCTGAGTCCTCGTGCTCTCAGCCCTTCCCTGACACTGGCATCACTTTCCTTTGCCTTTCCTGTTCCCCTCCAGGTGGTGAGGGAGGCTGCCTATGACACCACCTCGAAGGACGTGGGGAAGTGGCAGCAGGTGGTCCTGCAGAACCGCCGCGCCGAGCAGCTGGTGTTCCCCCTGAGGCAGGACATCACCACGGTGGTGCCCCTGGAGAGAGCCACCTCGGCATGGAGGGTGAGGGCTGGGTGTCACACAGTGCTGGGGGGGGCTGGGGGAAGCTCCAGGGATTTGTCTGGGCCAGCTTCAGGAATTTGGGTTGGGACAGCTCCAGGAATTTGGTGGGGGCAGCTGTAGGGCTTTGACCAGGGTGGGTCTGGGATCAGCTGGGGCAGCTTGATGTCTCCTGGCTGCTCCAGGAGGAGTGATGAAGGTGAGGAAGGCCCAGCCTGTGGCTGAGGTGATGGACAGGTGCGTGCTGGGCTCGGGCAGGTTAAAACAGCAGTCTGCATTCCTCACACTTAGCAGGTGTGTAAATTCCATTTAGGAGAAACCAGGTAAGGCAGGAGGAGAGGATTTGGAGCCTGCTCTGTCTCCTCTCCTCCTGATAGCCTCTCAGCCCCAAGCACAGGCTGAGCCACAGTGCTCCAGTCTCTGAGCTGTCCAGGCACCTGGAGTGTTCCTCAGCCTCAGGTGCTGAGCCAGAGGGGGTTGGTTTGCCAAATCCTGTGCACCTGAAAACATTCCTTACAAAAGAAGGATGTGTTTGGTTTTGCATGTGAGTTCCCGTGGGGTTGTGCTGCTGGCAGGGAGTTGCTGCCATCCCTGGGAGCTCTCAAGGGCCCACGTGAGGGGCAGCCTCTGCAGAGCTCCCGACATACCTGTCACTCACTTTAATCTGCGTGAAGCTCCCTTTCCATTTCAGAGGGATGTGGCATTACATGGCCTGGAAGTCCTGCTATGTGTCCAGTGTCTCCAGGTCAGCGCTGCCCATCAACTCTGAGGCCATTTCGCTAACACAGAAGGAGTTCTACCCGCCCTTGCCTGGCAGGGTGGCTATGAGGACACCTGGGCAGGCCTGTAGCCAGCCTCAGGCTGCTGGCATGGGACCCATGAGCAGGGCTGTGAGCACAGCCCCCCCTGAGGAGGGGACACACTTCTGTGGGCCTTCTCACAGCCACTCAGGGCAGCAGGAAGGGATACGGACATCCAGGCAACCGTTGGCTCTTGCATTTCTTCTCATTGTCCTCTTGCTGTGTCTTCTGTCCCAACAGGCTCGAACTCCACTGGAGCAGGAGATCTTTGGATTGCTCCACAAGACACAGCAGCCCATCACAGACCCACTCCTGACACCAGAGGAGAAGGCCTCGCTGCAGGCCATGAGCTTGGAGGAGGTGAGGGTTTCCCCCTGCTGGGCTCTAGCTCTAGGGGCCTCTTCCTTGGCCCTGGCCCCCAGCCTAGGCACCCTGGCCCTCACTCCAGGCTCTCTGGCAGGCCCAGCAGCGGCGAGCAGAGCTGCAGAAGGCCCGAGCCATTCAGTCCTACTACGAGGCCAAGGCTCGGCGAGAGAAGAGGATCAAGAGCAAGAAGTAAGGCTCTGTCTGTGCTTGCTCAGCATGATGGGGAGGGCTGGAGCCCACCCTGCCTTGCCCAAAGCGTCCCCACACTCTGAGCCCTCCCTGCTGTCATGCTACAGGTACCATCGTGTGCTGAAGAAGAGCAGGCGGCGCCAGGCCCTGAAGGAGTTTGAGCAGCTGCAGAAGTCGGACCCTGCGGCTGCCTTGGCACGGCTGGAGGAGCTGGAACAGCTCAGGATGCAGGTGCTGCCTTGGCACCTTTGCCCCGTCCCTTGGGAAGGCCCTGCTCCTTGAGGAGCTCTGTCTGATACTTCTCTCTTCCCCCCAGGAGCGGATGAGCCTTAAGCACCAGAATAAGGGAAAATGGGCCCAATCCAGGGCCATTATAGCTAAGTATGACCTGGAGGTGAGATCATGGTGTCATAGAAAGGTTTGGGTGGGAAGGGACCTTAAAGCTCACCCAGTTCCTCCCCACTGCCTTGGGCAGGGACACATTGCACTAGCCCATATTGCTCCAAGCCCCGTCCAACGTAGCCTTGAGCAGTTCGAGTGGTGGGGCAACCACAGCTTCTCTGGGCAATCTGTGCCAATGCCTCAGCACCCTCACAGGGAAGAATTTCTTCCCAATATCTATCCCATCTATCCCTGTTCTCTGTCCATGTGTAGCCAATCCCCCTTGTCCTGCCCCTCCAGGCCATGGTATAAAGTCTCTCTATCTCTTATAAGGCCCTTTATGTGATGAAAGGCCACAACAAGGTCTCCAGTGCTGTTTGGGGAAGGGGAGAATGGAAGGTGGTAATGTTGTCTCTGCCCTTGTTAGAGCCTCTTGGTGCCCCCCAGGCCCGCAAGGCCCTGCAGGAGCAGCTGGCCAAGAACAAGGAGCTGATGCAGAAGGTGCGAGTGGAGCCACCCGAGGAGGAGCTGCGTGACGTGCCCGAGGAGGACACTGCAGCCGTGGCTGTCCCCACGGCAGCCAGCGGGGCTAATCCCTGGATGCTGGGCAAGCCCAGTGCCTCCACCCCAGAATCTGAGGCGCAGGAGGGTCCTGGAGATGTCCCAGTGCCTGATGCTGCAGAGAGCAAGGAGAAGATGGAGGAAGAGGAGGAGGAGGAGGAGCTGTCGGATGAGGAAGCTCTGCTACAGGACTTTGAGCAGAAGCGGCAGGCGCGGCAGGAGCGGGCAGGGAGCCCCGAGGGGCTTAGCAAGGGGCATGGTGAGCAGCTTGTGGGCCCCAGCAGGGTGGATTGGGAGTGCTGCAGGGCTGGGAAGAGGGAGTGGGGTTTAAGGGCAGGTTTTGGCTGGTTCACAGGGTTCTTGCTTTCCTGCACTGCTTGAACTGACCATTTCTTCTCTCAATGTGTAGGTGCCGATGAGATGGAGGGCACTGCTGAGCAGCCAGGAGACAGCCCTGTGCCCGCAGTGTGTGCTGAGGAGCCAGTGAGTGCAGGGCTGGAGCCACCCCCCCAGGCCCTGCTCTCAGAGCAACTGCGCCGCGTGCAGACCATGGAGGATGTGGAGGCTCTGGCCTCAGAGGAGCATGTGGAAGAGCAGGAGAAGCCAACGGCCTCAAGAGTGGAGAAGCAAGCACAACGGCAGGAGGAAGGCAAGGCTGGGGACAGACATGCCAGGGAAGCACCAGCCAAGAAGAAGATTATTAGCCTGGAGGCTGTGCTGGATGGGAAGCCCCAGGAGCTGGACTGCCCCAGCCTGCCCATCGTCATGGAGGAGGAGGTGAGCAGGAGGGGCCTGCCCCATGCTCCCCACTACCCAAAACACCTGACCACCAATGCCAAAGTCCAAAGCAGTAACTCTAAACCCCAAACACTAACCCTCAAACCACTCTGTTAGTACCTCCCCAGCCTGCCCGTGGTCCTAGAGGAAGAGGTGATCAGGATGGGCCTGCCCTGTGCTCTCCAGTTCCCAAAACACCCAACCAGTAATGTCAAACCCCAAACCAGTAACACTAGCCCCCAAACCACTAACTTCCAGTGACCCCAAAATTCCTCCCAGTAACCCTAAACCTCCTCCCAGTAACTTCAAACCAGTAACCCTAAACCTCCTTCCAGTAATCATAAGGCCCAAGCTAGTAACTCTCAGTACTCTTAAACGCCCTTATAATCACCCAAAACCCTCACCCCGTAATGCCCATTGACCTTGAACACCCTACCAATGTCCCCAGTATTCCCCAAACCCTCTCCTATTCCCTCCCCATGCCTCCCACTTTGTCCCAGACCCTTCCCAGTCCTCCCAGTAACCCCTAAAGCCTCTCTGCCTTATCCCTCTACAGGAGGGTGGCATTGACCAGCGTGGGGTAATCACAGAGGCCTTTGCTGGGGACGATGTGGTTGATGACTTCCGCCGGGAGAAGCGCAAGGCCGAGGAGGCATCGAAGCCACAGCCAGTGAACCTGGTGCTGCCAGGCTGGGGCGAATGGGGCGGCACAGGGCTGAGGCCCAGTGCCAAGAAGGTCAAGAGGTGAGTGGGAGAAGAGCTTGGGGATGTCCCCAGCCCAGTGCCAGCCCTGACCCCTCGCTTGCCCGGCAGGTTCCTTCTCAAGCCACCGCCGGCACCTCCCCGGAAAGACCAGCACCTGCCCCATGTCATCATGAGCGAGAAGCGCAATATCCACGCGGCAGCGCATCAGGTGGGTCACCTGCTCACCTGCGCTCTGTGAGCACTCCAGCACCTGGGCGAACTTGGGGCATTGCTTCCCAAAATGTCCTCAATCCCTGCCTGTAATCCTTGCCCAGTCCTTAGCTTCCGCTTTAACAGCCCAGTGGGGTGATGGAGGGAGAGGGGTGTGTGGGGCTGCTCCCTTGATTGCGGTGGCTGTTCCAGCCCTCTTGGGCTCTGTTGGCAGCCCAGCTGGATGCAGAGCATGAGTGGGTCCTGGACAAGTGGGAACTGGGGCAGCATGGGATGGAAGGGGTGGGCAAGGGACATTACCCCTGTTCTGTCCCCACAGGTCAGTGAGCTGCCCTTCCCCTTCGAGCGGCACCAGCAGTTCGAGCAGAGCTTGAGGACACCCGTGGGCACCACGTGGAACACACCACGTGCCTTCCAGAAGCTGACAGCTCCCCGCGTCATCACCCGCGCAGGCCACATCATCCAGCCCATCTCAGCCGAGGACATCCCCC